TTCGTCAAAACATTTTTCTAGGAGCCAACTTCTGAAGAGCATTTGAGTAATCGGAGAAACTAAAATGTGATATGAGTCCTAGCAAGATTTCAAAACGTTGTTTCTCCTCTAAAAGTGCTGAAAAGGTCCCATTTCCTCTCCGATATGCATTCAATTCACTTTTCTTGAAAAATCAAAAATCAAGAAGCACTTTTTCACGACGGAGGTCAGAATATTAAATTGGGTCGGGCTTTTGTATCTCAGGAGTCGAAAACCATAAAAGAGAGTTCCTTGTTGAGAACTAGAAATTAGAATAGGCAAAAAATTGATATTGCGATGTACTAAACATTGGATAGGGATCTTAATTAGAAATGCCAACCGCAGAAGTTTCTGGAAAAAAGAGCAATGAGAAAAGCGGAAATTGTTTCCTGACAGGCGGAAAAAAAGAGGATGTGCTTTATTTTTTTTGTGGAGCATATGAAGCAAGAGTAAATTTCTCTATCTAGAAACTAGATTGACACAAGAACACGGTTCTGGATATTGAAATTAGATTAGTGCATCCTGATGAGAAGAAGTGTATTGACTTTTATGAAAGAGCCGGATGAAAAAGAAAGTGAGGATAATAAAGATGGAAAGAAGGTTGTTGAAGGATTCGGGGAGACTTTCCTGGATTTTTGGGTGCTGCTGTGTTGCAGTTTATAATAAGCATTATTGTGGAAAAAAGAAAATTACCATGAATTTTGCAATTTTCACTTGAATTTAAAAAATTCGTGAAAATAATAAATAAGGCACTTTAACATTCTGTGATCCCTGAATTACTGACAAACTGTGAAAATGAGTAGGGGACATAAATAATCCCTGTTCGCATTTGACAGGTGTCGACAGGTGACCGATATTTTATGGTTTATGGTTCTTAATGGTAAGAAGCTCCAAGACAGAAGAAAAAGACCGATTTTTATGGTCTACCACAGAGAAATTCAGTCTTATAAGAACTTAAAAAATTAACCCATCTGTCTCTGCCACCTGTTCAAAAAACGGTCTTTTAATGTTTATGAATTACAGTATCATCATTAAATTAGAGAGAGAGAGAGAGCTCAAAACCAAAACGGACGGAAACAGGGCCGGGGTTGGTGACTGTGGACCAACACCTCCGTTATTTCAGAATAATGCTCTACAAGTCAAAAAATTCTATGGCCTCTAAAAATCTTTTTTGTAGTCTTGAAGCCGATTACAATCAAAAACTTTTTAAATAAAACTGCAAAATCGAAAAATCTTGGAGGTTTCAGTTGGAAGTTTCAATAATCTCTAGCTTTCATCTTTTAATCTCTAGCTTTCATCTAGCTCTTTCAGTTTAACCCATAAACTGTCGATGCGACCATAAAACTCGCAAGGAAGTTTTATTCTTCAACTATCATTTTTACAGTACCTCACTTGACCAAACACCAAGCACGCCCAAGAATCATCAACCAAGTCAGATTTTCTTATCAGGAAACACTTCTCAATCGGAAATGCTTCTTAAAAAATCAACGACCACCTAAGATGTGTTCTGCTTCTAAAATAAAGCTACTCACCTCTTTGAAATTGTGCATACTGTTGTTTCTGGAGATGGTTTTCAGAAAGTGGAACATTTTGAATATGCAAGTTTTTTTAGGAATCGTGGAGCTGGTGACGCAGAACACCTGACGGCGTCAGAGGGAGAGGTTTAGTCACTAGGAATTGGATAAGTTGAAATGTGGTCGGAGAGCACACTTGTCTATCAACGCAACTTTCTCATTTTCTTGTTTTTCGGTTGGTTCTAAGACGAGCGAAAAAAGAAAACGAAACGACGTGGAATGTTCGAGAAAGTGCTGGAGATAGACTATCAACACGGCACTCACACACAACCGGAAGATGGGTGAAGGCGTTATGAAAATATGAAAAGGCTATCATAATTTGAATCAAGCTATGAACTTTTAAGCATGTGTACTTCCAGAATCATCTAATTTGGATGTGTGAGGTGTTTATAGTTTCAGAATCAAAACAAATTCATAACTGTTGACCGGCTAATACCGAAAATTGAAGTAATCCAATCGCGCAGTAAAAATCTTATTTTCCCGGAGCAATAAAATACATACAGTAACAACTATACTGAAGCGACCGGCTTTTCTACAGTCCACCTCCGAAGAGCTGTACCTCCGGAGAGCTGTTCTTATCAGAGGGTCCTCGAATGTAAGTAACCTTTCTAATACAGGTTTTGCTGTGTTTTTGAAGTTCACACTTTTCATAATATACACCAGAAGTTATGGGAAAGCTTTTCAACAAAAAATCTTTATCCATTCAGCCTGGAACTGGTTTACAGAAGGATGGTTAGATTTTTTTAGAGTCCCATGGTGGCTTTTTTTTCTCAAACTTTCATTTTTCTTCACACGGGGCTTTATCAGTTCCAATTATCCAATATTGTCTGGAAAAGTGACTTACCGATGATCGATTCCGACGGTTCTTGACTTTCCGAAATAGTGACATGACGCTGGAAAAGCAACAACACATTTTCGAAGAATTGAAACTGACAGTTCGTCGCAACACTTTTGAAACTTTTCGATGCAAAAGAAAAATAAGGAATGCATTATGGGAATGTGCATAATAATAGACAATGACGTAGGGAAGGAAAAGTACAGGAAAAAAAGTTTTCATGATAAATAAATGTTTTGAATAAAAGAAAACTCTGGTCGCAAATTAAAGTTATCATCGTTGAAATAGTTTGACATTCTCACGCAAATCAAATTGGAAATCAAATTGGGATTATTGTGAGAAATTTGGAGAGTATAAAAGGCGAAAATTCTAAAAACAAATCTATAGAGTATAAGATGAAGAACAAAGATGTTTCGTTGAAGTTTCTGGGCAATTACTTTCTGCAACGCCTAATTGTTGTGACTACTGGCGCATTTTTGAGTGAAACTCTTTCCCTTTTTGTTGAAGAATAACAGATTCCAATCTGCTTAGGTTTTGTTTCCGGACCCCATTTCCTTATTTGCAGTTGAATGAGCCCTTTCTTTCAGTTTCCCCCCTTTCAGCTTATTTTTTTGAAATTTTGAAAGTTGGCGTCATTCTTTCCAAAATCTAGCCTCGTGGCTTGATTGATACAGGCCATTAAATTTGAAGGGCTCACATTCAGATGAAAGAGTTTTCGAAAAAATGTCAAGAGTGCCATCTTAAAACCATCATCTTAACAAATCGTTTATTGCGGGACGTTTCGTCATTCACTCCGAAAATCTCCATGGAAATTTTTCGGCGCCCCCACATGACTTTCTCGAAACTTCATCGGTCCACAGTCATTTCAAGGCCTTGCTCTCGTCATATTTCTATTTTCGATGATGTCCTTTTGGTCTTTGTAATGAAAAAAGATGGTTGTGGGTCATGATGAGCGCCCTAGATGACGAAACGACCTCTCCTTATGAATCTATGAGTTCTTGTCATGAAGCACGCCAATTTTTTTGAGGGAAACTCTCACATATGTATGTGGCGAGAAACATCATGAAACTTTTTTCTGGATTATTATTCTCGAAGATTTTTTTCTTTTTTCTAAAGTGTAGAAAAGTTCTAGACATGTTTTTCTCGAATTTTTACTATTCAACTTCCAACCAAATGAATTATAAAACTGGGTTTTTAGTCTTCCGTCTAGCCTATCAATTTCGAAGTCCATATTATCGGTTTTCATCAGACATCGCCCCGTCTGACCAACTCCGGAAGCCATGGGCCTAGTTTTTTATGACTAATTCGAAAGTCATTTGGGTCTTGCTCCTCCCCCTATCTTCCAACTTCCAACCAACTCATTCTTTGGGGTTGTGACTTGTTTCAAAGCCTATCCAATACTTCTGAGTATAAGATGATGGGGTATGCAACATCACCCATCACTTTTGAAGATCCCCCACACAACGACCTTGTTTTTATTTTTTCTTTCCAACTTTTTCAGAAAAATGGAACCTATTTTTCTTTCTTTTCACCCTTCAATTTTAGAAAATATCTCAATTTCTGAAATAGGCACTCTGGATGATTATTTTTCGAAGTTATAAAAGGGATAGGGTGGACTTTGGCCCGGAACACTTATGAAGAAAGATTAACACTTTACATCCTCGTCCAAAATTCATAATAATTGGATTAGGCTAGTTTTTGCACTAAAATCTCAAAAGTTCCTCATTGTTTGGCTTCTCCTGAATTTTGAAAAATTTTCCTGACTGATCATTGTAAATCTTCCAACATAACTCTTTCAAAGTCTTCATTTCAACCGGCTGACCGGAAAAACGTCGTTTCATTTTAGTTCCAAGCTTCGGTACCACATAAAACTAACTACTTATCCCTTCTTGTCTCATTTTTCTTTTTTCAAGTTTTCGAAACATTTCAAGTTTTCGAAACATTATACTTTTTTCAAGTTTTCGAAACATTATACTTATGCTCCGAAGGGCAAAATGCGAGTTGGAATAGTTTTTTTCATAAAATATATGCGGGGTTTCTATTCATTGACATCTACTGACTCTTTACGTGACTTTAAATTACCAATGAAAAAATTATAGTTCTTCCTTTCTGACATTCCTACGAAATTCTAAATTTCGTGCGATCGAACTAAACGGAAGAAGACCTTCTTCGAAACAAAATAACATCACACGAATTCCTTTAAAATGAATGGAATCCGTTTTTTTCTTCGATTCTTACATTCTTCTACTATGGTTTCTGTTTTCGTTGAAACTAGACAACAGAGCATTTCATTCCAAATGAATTCGTGAACAGTTTTAGTTCGGTCCTCTCCTCCCTGACTCCTCCTCTTCCTCCACATTCTGCTTTTATGGAATAGGTGCGTCTTCCAGATTCTTTGGATTCGTCATTGTAGTTTCCGCCGATTCTCAGACAGCCACTCCCGCTTTTTGCTATTTCTTTTAGAGAATTTTTTTGAATGTGAGATCTAATGCTCTACTGAAATTTAAAATGCTTCACGTTTCGAAAAAATTTCTTATATTAATTCTAGCCTCTGAATTCCAGGTAGTGTGCAAATGATGGGTCACTCTCGATCTCGTTTCGTCATCGCACTTCTGCTGCTCTCCGTGCTGATTGCAATCTGTGTTGCCGCGCCACCAGCGATCTCTTTGCAGGATCTTCCAGCTGGTAAGTCTCTAAAAAATACGCGTATTACCAAGAATTGCATTTTTCAGAAGACTATCCATTCCTCGAGGAAGACGTTTTGGATCTTCCTAGCGATGGAACTGACGCGCCTATCGCGTACGTGAAAATTTCCAGTTCAAAATGAATTAAAATCCTATTTTCATAATTATAATTTCAGTGAGAAACGCGCCGTTTTTCGTATGGGCAAGCGAGCAATGATGAGATTCGGAAAACGTGCAGTGATGCGATTTGGAAAACGATCTGTGTTCCGACTTGGTTGAATCATTCGTCCTTCCGACAACAACAACACTGCACTTTACTTCCGGGCTTTTGACTCCTTCTGATTTCTCGAAAAAAATACTAAATTTCATTGTTCCAACGTTTCACTCGGCATTTTTTTTCTAGTCTTGCTACCGTAATCCATCTTATTTTTTGAAAAGTGTGCTTTCTTTGAACGTTTGGAGAAATAAATTCAAGTGTGTTAAATTATTGAATACATGTGAACAAACTGGTCCATTGAAGAAGTCTACCTGAAAAACCAATTTTCGAAATTCAGGATATGAATGCTATAAACGACAAAATTCAAACTTGGAATTTCCTTTGAAAGCTCAAAAATTTACAGGAAACATGTTTTTATTTCGGTTCTGAGTCCTGAAAAGTACGTGGTTCTGAGAAATTGCAAACTTGAAAACTCTGAATTATTGGAAATTTGAATATTCGATCTATTTCTGAATGCTTGGAATTTTAACTAATTTCCGATCTTCTGTCAATTCCAAAAAACATCAGATAACAATATGATCTCAATTCGAATTTAGAATGACATTTTATTTGTGGTTTCGTTTATAACAAAACCTGCTTACGCATTTGAAATCGGTCTTAAGTCAGAACCGAGCTAAAAGTGGAGTCAAAGTTTCGCTAGATGATCACTTAACGATGGTTCATAAAAATGTTGTTCTCGTACACAGAATGATGAAGATCTACTTGAAAAGAAAATAAGAGTTACTGTATCCCGAGGTGACATTTATGGTTTCTTTGGAAAATCGTGGTGTACTGTAAATACTCTGACAGACGGCCACCCTGCTTTTGCACTTTGAGCTCGATTATCTCAATTTCTATAAGTTACAACAAAAATCTGTCAACTGAAGAAATGTTTATCAGGAGACCACCGACATTTTATCAGTTGACACATTTTTGATATCTTTTATAGAAATTGAGATAATGGTGCTCAAAGTGCGATTTTAGGGTGACCTTCTATTAGAGTGTTTCCGGTAAATTTAAGCCCCGTAGCTGTTCAAGCTCATAACTTGAAGTAAACAGCATCTGGAACAAAATATGTCAGTGAACTATGAAAATGAGCGATAGTCCTGTTCGCTCGTTTTTGTCATCTAACTATACACAAGGTTGAGCGAAACATGGATGACGCCATAATAAACATATTAGTTGGCGACAATAAGCAAGCAACAGTCTCAAGATGTTTACTTACGCTAAATTTGTCTCAAACGATTGTAAATTAGTTCATAAATCAGAGTACATTTTTGATAATCTTTTTTCCATTCAATGTTATTCAGATTTTGTACAAAAGTTGCAGGAAGTTTTGGGGAAAAGAAATCTCGTGTGACTTCCTTGTTTTCACATTTATCTGATTGGTTTAGTTAATTGACGCAGTTTTCGAACTTGAGTTAACCTTCTCCGTCTAGCATTCCTCAATTCAGTGTGACCGCGTACACCATAAATCATCTCAACCTGAAACCCATCCTCAGAAACCATAATGCCATCTCTCTTGGCCAGCTAATCAACTTCTCCATCTCTCACTAACGAGAATACATAAATCGCTCATCGTCTCGCCCAGTTTTATTGCCGTTTCCAATGGTTTCAACGACAAGAAGTTTTTTGGTGACTGCTATTTAAGAAATGATAGAAGACCTAGAAAATCAGAAAGCCAAGACATTGAACCTAAATCATACCTTCCTTGGATTTCGCAATAATTTAGTGTTCATTGTGAGGATTAAATTTCGTAATTCAGAATGTTTTCGTAATTCGGAGATTAGAAACTTCGGAATTACTAAAGAATAATCTAGAAAAACAAAAAATTGACATTTGTTGTTGTTTACATGTTTACCTCACATCATATATGACTTGAGAAACTGTTTTGATCTACTAAAGAACATTCTAGAGAACCCATCCATTCAAAAATCGTAGGTTTTGTGTTTTCTCTCCCACAACATGCGAGTGTGCTCGTAAACAACTATTTCTCTTCACTAGTTCTTTTCTCTCACCGCAGTCTGCCGCCGTCCACGACCAAAGGGGTGGTCTTGTGGCCGTCACAAGACAGTGAGGAGTGGCCGAGAGTGGGGGAAACCTAGTCCGCGGGCCTTCTCTTCCTTCTTTTTTCCTAGACAACTTTAAAACCTATTGATTCTCTTCTTCGAAACTTTTTGGTATGGAGAACAAAATCTTATCAATTGGAACAGAAAATGGAAAGAATGTAGTTGATAAAGTTTTTTTTTTATTTTCAATACATCAGAATCAATGCCTTTCCTTTTTTCTTTTCTCCCTTTTTCTTCACTTATCATTCTGTTTTTCCAATTTTATTCTTTTCAGCTCTTATAAAAGGTTAATGATAATCTTCTAGATTAGTTCATCGCGTTTTCAAAGTGGAAAATGAAACCTGAGAGGTATACACCGAGATTAGCAATTGCAACAATTTTTCCATTTTTTTCAGTTTCAATCGCCGAGAATCAATTCAGAACAGTTCGTATATTTGTGGAGTAGTAGAAGGTACGACTAGAAAAATCAAAAAAAAATCCAAAAATAATCTTTATTCTTTGCAGGATTTTATGGTCGCCCATGGACATTGGAACAACGGAAGCATCTTTTCAAGCGTCAAAATCATCTGGGACTGACCACGTACTTGTACGCTCCAAAGGATGACATCAAACATCGGTCACTCTGGCGACAACTATACAGCACTGAGGAAATGAGTAGGTTTTTTTTCGTGGAATCAGTGTTCCGATGGGGGTTTCTGGGTTTATAAGGGATTAGTCACGATTATCCGGATTTTCGTAAGCGTTATAAGAAAGATGGCGTGCTATTTTTGCTGTTGGAAAAACTTGGAGGAGGCTAGAAATTAAATGATAACATCAATTAAAAAAGGCAAAATACAACGATTCGGGGGTACAAGGGGGAACAAAGTGATTTAGGGGTGCAAAATCCATGATTCGGTTGTACTAAATTTTTTAACAAGTTGTATTTATTGTACTTCTGAATTGAAATTTTGTCTCTAAGTGGTTCGCAGCTTCGTTTAAAAATTTCATCTTAGTGGTACGAAAATGAAATTCACCCAGGCATTTTCTACCCCCCGAATCACTTATTTTGTACCCCTAAATCGTTGTACCCCGAATTTGTGGTTAAAAAATTTATCTGAAAACGTCTTTGAAAGACGGAAAATGATACTAACTAGTTTTCCAGTTTACAACTTTCAAAAACATTAAAAGCAATCAGACATGCTGGGTTGATTGTGCCAATGAGAAACAAGCTTCGATCAATTCATAAAACTATGATCTCCAATTTCAGCGCTTCTCCGATCACTCATCGACAGCGCCAAGGATAACCGCATCAACTTCGTGTATGCAATTTCCCCGGGGCTAGATATTGAATATGGCTCCGAGAAGGAAATGGCTACGCTAAAGGAAAAACTAAGTCAGGTTTGTTGCCAGATTAAGCCAAGCGTATTGAGCTTAATTATTTTTTTTAGGTCAAAGGCGCTGGATGTGACTCCTTCGCTATACTTTTCGATGATATAGAAGTACAGATGCAAAAGAACGACAAGGAACACTTTGAGTCCTTTGCTCATGCTCAGGTAATTTAAAAAAGGAAAACAGGAAAAAAATTGAAATTACAGGTTCATGTAGCAAACACTATCTACGAGTACTTGGAACCAAAGACATTTATTTTCTGTCCAACAGAATATTGTCAATCAAGAGCTTTTCCCACGTTGGAGACTTCTCAGTACCTCAATACCATCGGAGAGCTTTTGGAGAAAGAGATACATATCATGTGGACTGGTAAAGACGGAAAAAAAATAAAATAATATAGATATGCATTTTCAGGGCCGCAAGTCATCTCTCGTTACATAACGCCTGAGCACTTGACTCGTGTGGGGAGTGTCATCCGCCGAAAGCCGCTTATCTGGGATAACTTGCACGCCAATGACTACGATTTGAAGAAAATCTTCATGGGGCCGCTAACACATCGATCTGTAAAAATAAAGGATGTCACGTCAGGATTGTTGTCAAACCCAAATGGACGGTATGAAGCGAATTTCATTCCGATTCATACTTTGTCTGATTGGAATGCAGCGGATCGAGATTTGTTAGCACGTGAGTACCAAGAAGTTTCATCTGTCTCAGCCGTTTGCGAAAAATTCAGAAAATTTGGTCACTGTAACCATGATGACCCGAAATTTAGGAGAAATTCATCGAAAGTTGAAATTCCAGATGAAAGTGGTCTCTCCGAAGACAATGGGATTCTCTTTAACATTGAGTGCAACTCAGAAACTGTGTATATTCCTGAAGTCTCCATGGTCAATGCGGTTACCACGTGGATTGATGAATTCATCACTCCGTCTGTGATCCAGACCACCCAGTATGTGCCCATGACTCGTCTCTGAATCTCAATTTATTCTATTACAGATCTCCCATCCTAAGTGCAGATGTAGCTGGATGCGTTCCTGATAGGAGAGACACTGTTTGGCTACTGGACCTGCCACAGTCTCACGGAGTCATTGTGCCAGAACCTGTGGCACCGATTGAGGTGGCTGCCGAGAACATTGTGCAGGAAGCTGTTCCACTGGAAGAGCCAGTGCCGTCAGAGTTGAACTCGATGGCGCCCGATTATTCGCAGCCGATGGAAACGGTGAGTATCGTTGTAGTAGTGATTGGTATAGTCTATTTTACCGATTTTCCAGGAAGAAAATGGAGAAACTCAGGAAGATGAAGCTATGGCAAGCGTTGATGACAATGTGGCTACCCTTCAAGCTTTCTCCGGTCTGGTTGTCACAGAAGAAGATGTCAAAAACCAACGACTCGCCCTTCTCAGCTCCATGTGTGAGATGTTCTACCTTCCGTTTGAGAATGGACCTCGAACTACAACTCTCTTTAAGGATTTCACTTGGTTAATGCAAAATGCGTCGGTGATGAAGAAAAGCTTCACGGAAATTGAGTAAGTGTACCTCGAAATTGAGATAAGGATGATTTATATTCAGAACTCTGGATCCTCTTCAATCGGAATGGCTGGTACGATACGATGGAGTCACTGAGTTCCTCACCAACGCTATCGACGCATTTTTCTTCATCACTCAAGCACCTAATAAAACAGTGGTCACCGAAATTGTACCCTATGCATTTGATGCTCATGGTTGTTGTGTGGTGATGATAGCCATTGCACGATGGATGATGCAAGGGTTCTCCTTGGATAATTCGGACAACAATATTCCTTACGACTATGGATCCCCAGATGAAAACTGGATCACACAGACTGGATTCAAAATCAACACTATGAGACTTTTCTCTATTCTGGATGACGCTGAAAAGATGTTCACCACGAAGATCTTCCTGCCTCTCACCATCTTCTGCTTCGACATCAGACCCTTTACAATGGCTGACAAGGACTATATATCTGGAATGGTGACTGTGATGCTGACCACGAATCAAGAGTTCCTGCGACAACGCTCCAAGAATTTTGCTGATCGGAATATAATTCCATTTTTGACCGGTGGAGCTCATCATAATTTTGTCTGCGAGAAAGTCGATGAGACTGGACACAAACCAGTCTGCTATGCTGCAGGCCATGCCGACGGATCCGCATTCAGTCACTTTTTGATCGGCTATAAAGAGGAATTGAAGGAGAAGTATAAAAGTTTGGTAGAAGATTTCAAAGTGGGATCGGCGAAACTATCTCCGGAGCACATTGAGTTTATACAGAAGAGTCAGACACCAATTGAGATTGAAGATTGGTTCCCAAAGGTTCCCAACCACATTTTTGAACGATATCCAGCATGGGTGGAGACCTACTTCGGACTGGATTCCAGCGATGCCTACCCAATGATGAAAGTTTTGCACGTCACAGTGATCAGTTTAGCGATGAATGGTAATCTATTAGTGTTTATTGCTCATAGGTTGATCAGAATTTTTTCTAGGATGTCCTGGATACTTTGTGACCATTGCCGAGGACGATGTTATGCGCCAAAAATACTTTTTTGCTATTGGACTCAATGATTTAGGGATCACCGATTGCCGAAGGTTCCGAATCATGGGACAAACACTATGCAATCTGTCTAGCAGCTCTTCCTCCTCATATTCAGAATAATTTTCAGAATTAAAAAATTGTAAAAACTGTACTTGAAATGTTTTAAAAATGCACTGTAACCTTCTTGCACATCTAGTTTTATAGTTTTCCTGCACTCCTTAATTTTACACACTTTTTTCACATGTTATCTAGTTTAGCACTTGTTTAACTCGGGATTTTATCATACTGTGTCACTTAAGATTCTATTTTGTAACAAAATCGTCACATTGCCTTCCCCTATGAACGAACTTTCCGTTGTACGGCTAACCTAACGCAGCTAACCCTCCCCAATCCACAGTCATTCACGTTTTTATTCATTGCTTCAATGTAAACTTCAATTTAAAAAAAAAATAAATATAGATTTTAAATTAAGAATTTAGATGAACCTCTGAAAAGATGTTTAAAATAAAATCTGTTTTATTCTACAAAGTGAAAATGGGTCATACGAAAGAATTCAAAATAAATTAAACGAATAAATTAAGCTCGCAAAGATCAATCAACAATCCGGCGAGTGGGGGAAAAACATCTATTGCTTTTGGACATAAAATAATTGGGCGAGTGAAAGCATGGGGATAAAATAACCTTAAACATTATGCAGGGTTAGAAGGAATGTCGCAAGAACAGAAACCTTAGCAAATAAATAAGCGGGGTGGGACTGTAAAAAACGAAAATCAATAAGTTACATAATAATCAAAATGCAATCTATGGGAGAGTTTTCGGGAGAGTGATGGTGGTGGGACATAAATTAGATTTTGAGCTGATGGCACAGTTATTCATATAGTTTGGCTTTGGGGAATTAAAATTGGTTGCCCAATAAGTCGACCAATGTCTGCACGACTGTGTCCTTGCTGGAGCGGATTGTGAGGCGGTACATCTGGAAAAAAAACTTTGTTAATTTTGATTATTTTTTTAATTGTCTGACCAGCTTGGGCGATAGGAATTTCGTCATTAGGCTAACCAAAATATTCCGGTTTTATGAAATTGAATAGTATCATTCGAGCTACACAGTCACTGCATCAACTCACCTTGGCTTGCTTATTTGGCTCCAACCGAATCAGTGTTCCAATTTGTTGCGTTTGCGTATGAATGATTCCAGCACACACATAATTGTCGGGGTTTGGATCCACTTCTGTCAGCAGGTTTGCACCGAATCCTTTTAGCTTGGTCTCGATTGTAGCGGTTTCCATTGGCGATTGGGCAGCGAAGATCTTTTGGGCCTCTTGGGATGCTGCACCCAACGACTTCCATCTGTTGAAAAACTGCTCCGAGGTCATGCTCGTCGGCTCGAAGAATTTGCTGATGAAGAGTGGAAGGTAGAAATTCTTGTCGAAATTCTGGATTGCTCCGGCGCGGTCCCTGAAATCATTAAAAATTCGAAAAGAAAAATTGATAATCTAGACTTACGTGAATGTGAACTTGATGTTCATTATTGGCATCTTTTGGAATTCTTGGACACAGACAAAGTTGATCAGTTGTTGCACTTGTGTTCCAGCAGCGACGAGCGGTTCCACCGGTTTGGCTTGGGCCTGAAGTTGGACAGCGAGGGCTCCAGGACACGTGATGATCGGAGTGAACTTGTTGAATGGCTGTGAGGTTTTGTTCCCGTAAAACATGCCAAGACGACCCAAGTTGTTGCGGGTTTCCAATTTGCATCCAACTTGAATATAGTCGTCTTCCCAGAGAATTGCATTACTCTTTGTCACGAACTTGGAGATGTCCGCCTTGTTTGCGATCTCGACTTCATCGCTGTTCAGTGTTAGTCCTGGAGCGGAGCTGTTGCCAAAGACATCGGCTAGTGTGGCCGTGTTGTCGCTGGCCGAATCGTAATCGACCAAGGATGTGGATCCCTCGCTCATCACGGCCGATGGCTTGGCCCGCTTCTCTTTTTCTTCGCGCTCGATTTCCTCGAGTTGTGGTTTGCTCTTTTTCAACTTTGCCAGAAGACTGCTCTCTTTTTCAGGGAATGCTGGCATCACTTCGAGGATCTGAAAAAAAGAATTCAACGTGAAAATGAATCAATAAAGAATATGGAAGAAAACGACATCCTTCTACTCTACTCTATCTCAAAAATCAACACTCACAGTTGCTAAAACGTCTCCAGAAGCCAACTTTGCCATTTGTAAGTACTCGATCGATCTCTGTTGAAGCTCCGCATCTGGGTTCCTCAAGTTGTGGTCCGTTTGGAACACTTGTTGCACCAATGGCTTCACTTCGGGGAATAGATTGCAGAACTTTATGTAGGTGGTCAACAAGAGGCATCGAGTGGTGATGCTGCACAAATGGAATTTCGAGTGCAACAACTCGAACTGGATCTTGGCAGTTGATCGTTCATCTCCAGCGATGAAATTTCCAAATTCTCCAAGGATATATCCTCCGACCTTGACCATATTCTCATGGCATGCTGGACGTTGCAGTGCTTCAAAGACGGTCTTGGCAGCATATCCTTGGACATCCTCTCGGTTGACAACAATCTGGATGACACGGTACCAGACTTCTTCGCTGACGTAGTCTCCGGCAATCCGGATCAACTTCAGTATCACGTCCACGTACCACGTATAGTCGGTGGCATATTTTTCGGCCAGAATCGCAACTTTCAAGACCATCTCCTCACGAATCGAGTAGTCAGCAGTCTCGAGGTAGGTGAGCATCTCCGCAACAATCTGATTGGCGTTCGACCGATCACACATGGCATAAAGGAGATCCACAGCTCTCTGACGCACCGAAACGTCTCTTTCAGTTTTCAAACTATTGATAATAGTTTCTTGGTGTTTTTTCACGGCGTCATGAGAGAACTCGGACGTAGCCAGAAGACACATTGATTCCAAAGCCAGGTACCGAAGATTGGTTTCACGATGCGACAAGAATGTTCCAAGTTGATTGCAAGCGCGGACAAGTAATTGTGGCTCCGAGTCCATGTGAATAATAAGTGCAATGGCCTCAAAGAGCACTGCATTCTTGGCATTCGAATGTTGCACTTTCTTCGACTTTGGTGCATCCTGAGCCTTGTTGAGGATCCCCTCCAAACATTCGAGAAGGCGAGCCTTGTTGGACGGATCATCTGGTGGTGGGTAGTTTTGAAGAAGACGGAGGAGCTTGACACATAGCCATGGAGCCGGCACAAAATAGTATGTGTAGTCCTGGAGGTCGGTGTAGGTAGCGGTCACAATTCGGCTGAGACGTGAGATTGCCAATGGGACTGCTCCTTTGTATTCTTCCGGCCACTTTTTGGAGAGGGCTTCAATCAGCGAAGCGGCAGAAGTTACCACGCCCTGAAAAATAAATGATTTAGTATTCATTTTCATGAGTTGCATTTTCTCTTGGTGCTGCCTCTTATCGTTCTTTAAGGCGCCAATGCAAACGCGCTCTAATAACGATTCGGCATTTGAAACAGCTGTGCAGATGTTTAGCCACACATGACACTTTTGGTTTGCGTTCGCGAAAGTTGCTTCTAAATGTTGTCGTCTTATCGAGCATGTTGCTAATCTTTGAATCTGCTTTCCACTGATATTGTTGCAAGGTAAGCGTTTATATGCAAGAGTGGCTTTCAACATATTTTTTTTCATTCTTATGTTTCAAGCCGATAAAAAAAAACAATTTTAGAATTTTTTGGCATGCGAATTCACAGCTTGGTGGAAAATCGCTCATAGCTCAATAATTGAACCTCTATGTATTTCAGCTAATAATTGAGTTTTTTCTTAGACATCCCTTCAAGCAGCAACTTATTCTGGCATTACCGTTTTTCCCGATGGCTAGAACGACCTGAAAAAGCCAACAACAAACTCACCATGTGCGAATCATTGAGCAAATGAACGATCCTGCTGGCGTATTCTCCAGGCTGGAAGGAATCCGGTGAGTTGCGGAACAGCTTCAGGATGCACAATGCAGCAGACTGCTTCACGAAGTCAATGGTTTCTCCCGAAACCAATAGTTTTGGCAGGTCCGTGCAGAAGGCCTCGACCATTTCGCGCGATCCCATGTTGGAGATGCATTGAAGAGCGAGGTTGACGTGAACTGGATTGCGGGACGTCAAGTCGTTGCGGATTCCCTGCACGATCAACTTCATCAGATCCGACTGCTGCTCGATGAGCACGGAGATGAAGAGGTATCCCTGCAAAGAAAAGTTGGTTTTTCAATTTTGTGGGTTGAGGGGCGTGGAGATTGCTCATTTAGCTATCTGTCTCAATTTTCAGATAGAGAGAGAGCTTCCGATCAATGGTCAAACCACTTAGACAAGTTAAACTTACAATCTGCTTCTCCGTGTACTTGTTCGACGACAACAAATTGACGGCCTCCATGTGCCCGAAATCGATGTCGTTTCCCAGCAAGAAGATGAATAGAAGTTTGCAGACATATTTCTTCTTTTGGTATCCGTCCAGTGTTTTGTCTCCTGAAAGTCAAATTTGCAGAATATCTGGTTTCGTGGCCTCCGAAATGCCTTACTTGCCCTGAAAACTCTCTGAAATCAAAACTCACCTTTGAACTTGGATCGGATATTGGCCAATTCCTTATTGATCCGTTTGAGCTCAGCCTCCTTGCTCTTACAATTGCGGATATCGCTGATGAACACCGCGAGACCACGCATTCCATCTCCTTTCACCGCCGGCATCTTCTGTAACAACATTCAATACCCTTTCTGAAAAAATGAGGTGCGTTGTTCTGAGAGTTTGCATGCAACGAGAAGAAATACAGAGACAAAAACGACATTGAAGAGATTAAGGAGCCAAGAATCCTATATTTTTAGTTGCATTTTTAGTTAATGATATCACCTACAGTCAATCCGCTACTGCCGAAATTCCGCTGGATCTCGAAAATAGTATAGCCTTGCATCGATTGGCGGAGGAGAGTGAAGTGCGAGTGTAAATGTCAAAAAGAGTGAATAAAAATGCAAATCTCTAAGTTTCAGTCGCATTTTTTTGTTTCAACACATCATAAAAAGTGCACATTGACACTAGCATACTCAGTGATAATTCTGACCCTATTTGACAGTGGAAAACACTTTTCCGGTGCTTAAAAACAAAGAAACGACGCGAAAAAAATAATGAAATGTGAAAAACAACATGTAATATCAGTGGGGAGACTGGGGGAAAAAGAGAGAAAGGCCAAAACCCGATTATTGTGCAAAAGTAAGAGAAGAAAAGAAAGAAAACGCATTCTTTTTTCGGGCAAGGGCACACTAACCAAAATCCGATACGCGTCTGTCCGATATTGCAAGGAGGAAGGCAAGGCCGCGCGCTGTCTGCATACCCAACGACTCACGGACAATTGCGGACCTGCCGCCTTGCGTGTGTGTGCGCGAGCGTAGAGGCTACGCGCACGAGGCATTGGGGTGCGTTTTGGGCGGCGGAGAGGAGCAGGGGGACCCGGCCCCCCCCCCCCCGAGTGGTGCGAAAACGGGTCCTTGTTTGGTTGGCTGGTGCGATTAAAGAAAACGATGCACACAAGAGTACGAAAGGAGAGAAGAAGGGCCCGAAGGAGGAGGATGACGAGTGAAATCAATCCTTTCTTCTTGCTTGTCTTTGTGCGAATAAAGGAAAAGCACACAACTACTTCGATTTGGGGAATTATTCACTGCACTTGCAATAATTGGCTCCAGAACCGAAACGATGGTTTTTTTTGGTTTTAAGGAAGCAAAATAATAAAAGAAAAGTTACAAAGAGAATGAAAAAAATGAGGGACCACAAGTACGTTTAGACAGAGAAAATATTGGGAGCAAAAAAAGAGAAGTGAACTCGTCGCGGAGGAAAATATGGGAAAAGAGGAGAATAAGAAGAAAAAGTCGACTTTTTGAGAAATTGGAAAAATGGGAAGAAGAAAATGCAGATACGGGGTCTGGAGTTTTGTTTTTAGGAATGGGAGACCATTTTTCATTTTTTGAAAGAGAGAAGGAAAAATAACTTACTACTTGAAATGATCTGAAAAATGATTAACATTAAAATTTGCGCAAATTCTCAACCGTTGTCTAAAAAACCTTCCCTTGTTATATATGAAGTGGGTTTAGAGGCGGTAGTTCGAACTGTGGTAGGTTCAGAGTTAGTAGTTGAAGCTGTAGTAAGTTCAGAGTTGGTAGTTGGAGCTAAATTGGGTTCAGAGCTGGTAGTTTAAACATGAAGTAGGTTTAAAGGTGATAGTTGAAACAATAGTAGGTTCAGAAATGGTAGTTAAAACTGTAAAAGGTTCAGAGGTGGTTGTTGCAACTGTACTAGGTTCAGAGATGGTAGTTGAAACAGTAGTAAGTTCAGAGGTGATAGTTGGAAATGTAGTAGGTTCCTCGGTTGTCCACTTCTACACATGTAGCTTCAGTGAGTTCATATTATGTGTCAAACAACTCTTAGGTCAATTTTGGTCCCTAAAATTTTTTTTGTGAGTTGTATTTGATTTCGTGAACTGCTAAACACCATAGGCTATGTTTACTTTTGTGTTTTGTTTGAGAGCAAATACAAACAAATTCTCATTCTGAAAGTTGTGAATCGGAATTCAACCGAAAGCAATTATAGGACACCTGGCGGCTTTATAAGATCACGGATACTCAAAGAAATTTTTAATTTTCAAAAAAAAAAATTTATTGAGCATTGATTCTTATTGTTTTTTTTCAAATTACAAAAGAAAACAGAAAAAAACGGGGGAGAATTCACTATACAGAAAAAAAAGCGTGTATATAAGCGATTTTTGGTTGTGTTAAAGGCATCTCGTGGCAGTTGGATATTTTTGACAGATAACAAAGACATTATTGATATGGGAAAAGAAGAGAATCAGAAAAGGAGAAAGATGACGCGTGATCATTCTCGCTGATGATCTTTTTTCCATTCAATCCTGGTAGAGCGGGTTTTCCATCAAATAGGCGCACTCACTTGGACGGCGTGAAACGAGTGGAGAGCTGTTGTAGGAGCGAGCCGAGGCGCTGGAAAATAGAGAAATGTTAAAATATGAAATTCCGAAATTTGGGTGGGTACCTGGAGTATCTATCTGGCTGAACTGGGATAGCAACTTCAAAGGAGACCTTTTCGGTGTAAGGAGATACCGGACGTCCGTCATGAATCGACACCCATCTGGATTTTTTGGTCACCTGGAATTTTTTTTTAATTAGAAATTGTTTTTGCATCTTGCAGCTGTAGTCGATCAGCAGAAAACGGAAGAATTTGTAAGAATCATATTTAGAAGATCCATTGTCTTCGAAATCTCAAAAATTCAACTAGACAACTAATAACTTTACACCGTCACGTCAAAACAGACACCGGGACTCTGAAAAAGTTCCTGCATTCCTCTAAAGCTAGAAAATTAAAGACATGTGTCTTAAAATGATAGTTTCTTTTAGTTCAAAGCCGTTTTCCAAACTCTAAAATCCGATGAACCCTTTATAGAAACAAAATTGACGTTAGCACATTTTCACCCTTACGTAAAGTAATTCCGTCGATGGTTCAAAGAAAACGTTATTGAACACGACTAATGATCTTTATACTTCAAATAATGTGCTCATTCTCCCATAGTAAATAATTAAGGTCTCGAAAAATGGAGAACTTTCATTGCGTGTAGTTTGTTTACGGTTGTTGACACCTATGCAATTTTTTATTAAATTTTTGACCGGAAGTGCGTGATAAAATGGATTTTGGAAAATAAAACGTTTAGTGATCCTCCCTCATTTTTGGAAGAAGAGTCATATGATCAGCTATTTGCATGCACTTTCCATTGCCAATCACACTATTGTTACCTGAGTACCAACCTTTTTCATCGGAAGGTTCTGTGAATTGACAGAGACGTTACTTTGTCTAGATCCAGCTCCGGATCTAGACGAGGCTCCGGATCTTGGAGATAACATGTTGATTGAGCCGGATCTTGGGGAGACTTCATCTGAAGAATATTAAGTGTTTTAGGAATTCTAGGAATGAGAAAAGTTCATCTCTAGTGTGACCAAAAAGAGATGCTAAATTGTTTTCTAAAGAAGTATTCTGAATTCAGTCATCTAGAAGTAACAGGTTTTTTTTCGGATAAGAAAAGAGTGTTCTTCTGGAATATCATGATGTCATGTATACCAACTCACTTGCATTGTTGGTATCAAATTAAATTTTGTTTCCTTCAGTTTTCGGTTTTAACCCTTTTAAATGAATTCGTGGCCCATTTCTTACCATATTGCATTTTATGTCTTGGCGATGCGTGTCTCGACGAGTTGGCCGGTTGAATGTCGATGCGTGGGATATGGAGCGGTTGAATAGGCTTCAAACATCGTGGTAATTAATTTAATTTGCTAGCTACTCCTCCCAACTTTTTTGTCTTTTCTGTGCAATTGTTTCGAAAAAATATGTGTCATGGGTTTCTTTTGCTACTGGTCTTTGTAGTAGAAGCTCTATCTTATTTTAATTGAAACTAGATTTTTGAAAACTTACTTGCAACAAGTGCCGGCTAAGGGAATGCTCTTCTCCAACTGGTGTCACTGGTCGTACTGGAGATGCAGGACGGACTGGTTCGGCAGGCTGGAAGTTTTTTGGCTTGAAAATGAGCTGATTTTGTATGATGTTCACACTCAAATTTTTGGATTTTCTTCCCAAAAAAGTGATGTGTTGGAAAAAAGAATTTTTGTAGCTATTTGACTGAAAAAAAAACATGTGATGTGTGATATAAATTGAAAGAGCTAGAAATTCAAAATGCTGTTTTCAAAAATTAAATTTGTCTTCAAAAACCAGTTAAAAACTTTGGTTTTCTAAAATATTTTCTTTTCTCACTTTGAAGACATTTTTAAGTTTAGCAGTTATAGATAGAAACTAATAGTCTATACTTCCGATCACTCGGACGGATTTTTTTTTGAAAACTGTAAAAGGTTCTGAGGTGGTAGTTGTAACTGTAGTAGTTTCAGGGCTGATAGTTTGAATATGAAGCAGGTTCAGAGGTGATAATTGAAGTTGGAGTAGGTTCAGAGGTGGTAGTTGAAACTGTAGTAGGTTCTGAGATGGTAGTTGGAATTATAGTAGGTTCTGAGATGGTAGTTGAACCTGTAGTAGGTTCAGAGCTGGTAGTTTGAATATGAAGTAGTTTCAAAGGTGGTAGTTGAAACTGTAGTAGGTTCAGAGGTGGTAGTTTGGATATGAAGTTCCAACAGTGTTGGTAGTTGGAACTGTGGTAAGTCCAGAGGTGGTAGTTGAAACTGTAGTAACTTCAGATGTGGTAGTTGGAACTATAGTAGGTTCCTTAAGTCTGATATATTTTTCTCAAAAACATCCTGTTAAAAAATTTTCGCTCTATTTTCAACAAATCAACTTGTTTGAAATTACATTTCTCATTTTTTCCATGCGCTTCAGTGAATTGGTAATCTTTTTAACATACAATACTTTCTAACTCCTAGTAAACACTTTGCGACAATTGTTTCTACATACCCCATTATTTTTAAAGACAACCACTTTTCTCATGAGCCATGTGCAAACAATCCAGATATAGCCCATTGGGAAAGTCAGTTACAAAAGAATCTAGACCAATAAATTAGAAAATAAGGACACATGGCCCATTTAGTTTATGATTGACGAGATTTTATGACAGCAAATTGTCACAATCCCCATTGAAAAAAAAACAATCCGAAATAAAATGAAAAAAAGAACGAGACGTTCACCTGCTTCTTAGAAGAAAAAACTGGTGCGGTGGTCGCGGTAGCTATTTTTCATTAACGTTTTTCTTTTTTTTTTCACACCCGTTCCTCTAAAACTTACATTCTTCTCAATTTTTACCACAATCTCTCCATTTTCATCACGTCCGTAGGTTCTTCGTTCGGTGTATTGTTTGGAAGACACTTGTCGTTGAGGCTGAACATTATTTTATTGGTTCCTGTTTATGTTACCTCTACGTGCGTTTTTTTTTGGTAGACAAAACCAAGTACAAAATAGTGGAATATTGTTTTCGTGAGAACAAAATGAACCAAAAACAGAGCTATGAAAATATATAAATTCGATAATTCCCTACCTCACTATGTGGAGTCCCATGAATCCGTCGCTCGAATGTCTCGATTGTGTGAGCCTCCTCACTTCCGATTTTCTGAAAAATATTTTTTTATTTTTTAACTTTGATTGATTTCAAGTCCCCTACACCTTTTGGTCATATTTGAATCTCTTATACTTTCAATTTGACTTCAATCATCTCCATTATTGTGACAGATATCAAATATTTTTAAACTATAAAAATGTTAATGAGATTATGGCTAAAATTTTATCAGTTGATAGATTCTTGAAATATCTCATTTCTGAGATGATTGAGGCTCTATTCGACAATTTATGGTACCATAAACTCACTTCAAATCGTCCTCCCTCATAAGGTCTAACGTCCATGGTAACTATTCAAAAATTTCGAAAAAAACAACCGGCAAAAAGTTGAAAGTTCGAGATGCGAGAAAGAATGCGCAAACTGATGATTCAGTATTCCAACCAAAACGAATCTCTGTGTGTTGTGCCCTCCTCCCCACAACTCTGACGATCCGAATCCTCCGAATCGACGATGATATTTCACTAACTCTTTGCTCTACTTTAACATCGCGCCTCGCGTTTTTGAGCAAACAGTCAAACTGAAATATACAGTTGTGCTCTTGCGCTCTCTTTCTTTCGCATCACGCCGCAAGAGCTCAATGCTCCCCGCGAGCCGCCACACACGAGATAGTAGGGAAAAAAAACTCTTGTTGAACTCAATTCAAGTGGATCCCACTTCTACAATTTGATGATCACATAGGAATAAGAGAAGGGGGAATGCGAAAGAGTGAAAATTGATAACTCGAGAGTATAACTGGTTCCGATTTCACGGTCTCCAGGTGATAACTGCTCTAGGAAGTATAGGTAAATACGGGATATGAGTGGATTTATCAAGAGGTCAAAAAACATGGCATTGCAAAGATCTGGTGATGGAAATGGGAATTGTGAGGAATGAAAATTGGGATATCTTATTGAGAATTTGGGAAAAACTGTTTAAAAAGTACTAGAACAACAATAAACAAGTGAAGTCTGATCAGCGTAATTTTCGATTCGAAGTTTCAAAATTTCAATATGATTAATTTGACATACTGTACAATATTTATCTTCCATTAGATTACTGTACCTACTACAATTTCCTTTTTCGGAATCAGAGTCTTACAGTAACCTAGGGGATGGGACCGTGGTAAGGGAGATGATACCGTCTCAAGCTTCTGGGACCATGGTCGTCATGTTGGGACCGATCTTAAGATCGATGGGACCGAGGCATGTCCTTTTTGGGACCTTTAGATTTTTTCAAAACTCGGGTATTATCAATTTTTCGTTTATTTTTTCCAATTTTTGATCAGACTAACGCCGCCACTTTAACAATCCACATTTTCGATTCATATTTAGTTCGAAACCCAAATTTTGTATGTCATTTTCCATCTTCTAAAATGTTGCATGTTCCCAAGAAACCCAAATTTAAAATAGGACATTCTATTGATTGCAGGATTTTTGGTACCGGACCTTCCGGGCCGGTCCTGGGACTTGAAAATTCTGGCGGGCCGGCCTGGAATTCCGGGCTTTGGCGGCCCGGCCTGGAATTTTACAAGTACATATGTCATTACTCATTTTTGTAGTGCAATAAACAGAAACGGAATAATTGAATAGCGCGCTCTTTCGAAATTGTTTAACCTCATTCATTTTTTCTACTGAGATGCTGTAAAAAATAAAAAATGCCGAAGAATCAAAAACCGTCGACTGTGAGCTGACTCATTATGGAAAACATCAAGATTAAACTTGTGAAATAACTTTTTCTTTCGGTTTTTCAAAGAGAATAATGCGGAAATATGAGGTGAGGAGTGGTTTGTTATTTTTTAAAATTTCCACAAAAAACATAAATTTCTGACAAATCTGGTATTATCCTGTATTTCAAAGCCCACCTATCAAGAATTTTCAACAAAAAAAAACACCATATCCCTGTTTTTCTGGTTTTTTAGTCTTCTCGATGACTCTCATGTAAATTGAGTTTGATCTAGCTAACGAAATTAACCATTTTCCTCCTCATTCTGAATTCTGAACTTTTCCCCTATTACTCGCCTGATGTCTCATAATAGTTCGAAGAAGACGTCTACACTGCGTTAGTTTAATTTGCCCTCACTTCTACGCTCACATCACTTTTCTGCACCACAATTTATTTTATATTTCCTCTCCAATATCGCTTCTTCTGACTTTGTTAATCGGTTGAAGACGATAAAAATTGAATGGCACTCTGAATATTCTTATTTTGCAATAGTTTCATCTACAAATCGGATATGTTGTTGCACTCCAGGACGCGAAAACATTTCCGGCTCATCAGTGTCTATAAAAAATATTTTTGAATTCATAAGCTAAGAGTTTTTTTCTTCCGGAAGCACTCTCATAGAGTATGTATATAATTCAAGGAGAGAAAAAAAAGCGACAAGTTTCTAGAATATTACATAAAGCCTCATTTGGTTTCATTGTTCTTTTTTTGCTAGTGTTTTTCTCTGAAAGATTTCACAGATAGAAACAATTGTTTACAAAACGGACACACTTTAGTTCTCAGACGGATGAGCTCTTCGGTTACGTAGAATGACTTTAAAGGGTCTGTGACCTCTTATTTTTTGGATTTTTGGTAGTTCTAGGTACCCCTTATTCATGTCTGAGGTTGTTTTCAGAAGTTTGTTTTTGAAATTGACCTATTTTAACAAAAACCCCTAGATCCTCATTGTTATGAACAAAGATTCCGCAACCTCAAAAACTTTTTTTCTAGTTTTTAAAAAATTGTTTTCCTTTCGCCGAAAGTTTGAAGTTTTAGAGCCTTAAAAACACATTTTCTTTTGTGATTGCTTTCAAAATCTTCTCTACCGATTACTTAGCTTGTTTGATCCTTCTTCTGTAACTTTCTGACTAGATTTTCTAGGATATGAAGTATTTTTCAGAGCCATTTACCCTAACTACCTGTAGTACCTGTAACCTGCAATAGAAGTGCTCCTAAATTTTTATTTTGAGCCAATTTATCTCCGTTCCTATCGAAGATATTCAAAGCAGTCGACTGATAAATTGTTTATCATAATATCACAAAAGTTTCAGTTCGAACATCTTCAACATGATTCGAGATAAGTTGTCTCAAAGTAAAAAGTTATGGTGTCGTTTTTTTGAAGTGTCAAAATCCTTCCCACTGATTTCTTGGCTTGTCTGATCTGTCTTAGTTCTCGATTTGTATATTTCGTTAATTACTAAAATCTAGCTTTCATAAATTTCTGACTAGCTTTTCCTGGAATATTACGTGTGTTTCAAATTCACTTATTCTTTTTTCCACACCCCCAATGAAAACAACTGGGGGCAGGATTTTTGTGTCGGCCTCCTAACTAGCTAAGGACATTCGATGGTGTGTATATGTGCGTATGTCGTCCGATAACAAGATTACAGACACACTTCCGTTTGCACCAGCATACGAAATAGCACTTTCAACTGGGAGCTGCCTTCTCTTCCTCCCACCTTTATCGGCTTAGAATTCAGTTTCAACTAGATTTGGGATCAAAGCAGGGAGAAATAGAGAGATTTTCGTAATGTCTCTAATTCGGATGTACATGACGATGTTGTAAAAAAGAAGTCTCAAAAAAAAAAGGAAGAAAACCGAGAGTCTGGCTAGGCGGAAAACTTTGATCCGGATGAATTTTTGTTTTTCGAGATTTTTTCAAGATCTTCTTTCGAAAAAAATTAATCCTTGATCATACTGTATTCAAATTCATTTTGGTTATAGCAATATCCATCCTAACACAAGACGAAAAAACAAACATGTTTTGTTCTAAGGTTTAAGAATGGCCCCTCTTCAAAAATAGAGGATGAAAAAGAAGCTGTGACAGAAAAATTTTCGCTTCGTGGTTCACCCACCCATTCACATCTTCCGCCTTCTAATGATGGCGAAGAACGCAAGATCATTCTTTTCAAATCAGTTTCAATAGATGTCTCTGGAATATCATGGGCCCTTTGCAAGGACTCATTCTGTTTCACCCGCTGCCCTACATTATTCATAAACCAATCAGCTCTGCATTCATAGGCTGTGATTCGTCTTATTTTTTTGTCCTTTTTTTCCCACGGATCGCGTTACTCAGAGATCCATTACTTATATTGAGAAGTAATGTAAACGTTTTCCATGGTTTATAGTTGGTTTTTGGATTTTCTTTCGTAAACCTACAGGAGCACATTCCCCCTCAAAGCAAGGAAACGTGTTCTGTGGCTCCGGAACTTTCTCCGGGCCATCAAATAAAAATAGTATCTTTAAAAACGTTCCGTTTGAATTTTTCATCTCTTACAGCTCACTTTTTTCATTCTTAGCTCCTCGTCAGTGTCAACTTCATGTTTTTTTCAACCCCATGAGTCATCTTTAACCTCATGAACCCCCTAGTTTGTTTTTGAATATTTTAGAAACGTCTGAAAAACTAGAAAAAAACTAGAAACTTGTCATAATCCCATAATCCCAATAAATTTTAAATGTAGTGTTCTTGAAAGAAAAAATTTTTTTCTGGAAACTCTAGTCGGACCACTTATGCATATTTTCGGTCCCCAGACGAGGAAGCAACTTTTTTAAAGGCTCCCGAACTTTCCTTCCGACTCTCTCAAAAAGCCTCTTTGAGAATTTTTATGACCCCTGGAATTGGTGCCGCCATTCAGAGAGTTATGGTTCCTTGGAGTCCAATTTCTCATTTAATTCGACAAGTGGAAGACGGGTACATTTAGTGCTGCCAATGACGCATAAGACATTTTTCTTCGATTCCTCCCTTCACCTCATCTCGCGCGTTACAGTAATACCGGAAATTCGAATTATGCAAAACGCTTAAACCTTTTTTTTTCCACATCCCTCGACGCTTGTTATCTTACTAAATGGCGTTGATTTCATTTTCTGAGCGCCGTGCAAACACGAAGGCTGTCCCATCCTTTTAGGCCTTATCTATTAATGGAAAAACCGAGCGTCAAGAAAAAAAAAGGAGTTTTCAGACTCAAACTGCACTCGAGGAAGATGAAATTAAATTCTAGTTTTCTTTAAAGGGAGGAGAGAGGAAATAAAATAAAGAAAAGCCCAGAAAAAATATATAAAAAATCCTCTGCGACATCAAGATCGAAATTTTTGTTTGCACGTAGGTCGAGTTCGTCATGATCCGGAATAACCTTACGCGCTTATCACAGGTAATAGAATCAGTCTATCAATGATAAATATATATTTTTTGATCACCCAAGTTAATCCATCTTTGTCTATACATGTCATCGCAGGTTCTGACCGGCACAAAAGTCGTCTTCTTATCATAACTCAGTTTCTGGATATATATGAGTAATGATCAAATTGTAGCTTTCAAAGAAAATGTAGCTGTTGTCTACCTCTACCTTTTTTCCTATTGAGTTTCCGCAGTTACCTCGAATTTCTGAATTTTTTCAGAGTTCTTTTTTTGTTCAAATCCCACAAAAATTCCAATATCATAAATCCAATTCTATGAGTTTCCATCTAACTTTTTTCCCCCATCAAGTGTAAATGAGTCCGGGGAACCCTTTTGATCTTTCGCCTGGGATCCACACAATAGTTTCTCATCTTCTATCTTCATTTTTTGTTCTCATTTCATCTCCTCCTCATTTTTTTTCTTGTGATTTGAGTTTTGCTCTCTTTGTATCCACCAGGCAATTTATAGAAATTCGGACCTCAAAGCTTGCTTCACACAGAAATTTTGATACTAAAACAAACTTTAATTAGTTTCCCAGTTTCCAGCTTTACGTTTTTAATTGCAACACTGATCATTTCTGCGAATACGTGAGAATCGCCGAAGCAGAAAGGTCCACAAAACGAGAGGGAGAGCAAAACCCTGGACTTTCCCATGGAAAACCTTGTGAGAACTGTTTCTCACGTATTTTTTAGCTCTATTCCAATTTTAGCCTTTTTCGCTTTGATTTCCTGAATGACTCAATTGGAGCCATGTAAACAAGGGAGTGGGAATTTTCAATTGAACGAAAAAAAAAAATCCACGTGGGCTCATTTACGAAATTAAACAACGGATTCATTTATTTTCAGTCTTCCCTACTCTATCAATTTTTGGGGAACACGTAAACCTCGTAATCCCATTGAGATTAAAATCATACGTCGAATTTCATTTCTCGCACAATGATCTCCCGTTTCCATTGTTATTGAGGAAGATGAGGAATCCGGAACCTTCCTATTGAGTCAGGATATGTTTTTGGCTGAACTTTGCCCCATCTGCAAAATGTTTTTCTATAGAAAAGGGAGTGCTAACTAGATACAATATGATTTTTTTTTTCGATCTATCGTTAGTTTTTGCCCAGCTCAAAAAAACCCTGGAGGTTTTGTGATCCATGTTTTCCATCTATTATGCATCTACATTTTGAATTCAATATTTCATAAGGGAAGCCTATTTTTGCGCTTTTGAGGCCCCAGATAATAAATTGGAACCCCCCCCCCTCCTCCGCTTCACTCTACGCAAGAAAAAAAAATGAGGGTGTGTAATAAATTGAGTTAGAAGAAAAGATTCAATTGTTGTCGATAACTCATTCTCTAGAGCATTCTAGCAGTTCCAAAAAACCATTGGTAGTTTTTTTGAACTTCCGATCCGACCTGCTCGTATTTTGGAGTATGTATAATGTATTTTATTATTTTTTTAGCATATCTCTTTAACAATAAGACTAGCATTTTTGAATTCACCTCTAATTGTATCTATTCATATAAGCGTAACCGTCTCATACTCGCCCACGATTGCAAAAAAGAAATACGTGAGAGTTTGCAAAGAAGTCATCTTCTCATCAAAACGGACCCCTCTATTCATTACCGTGTGACATTGTGAAAAACCAATAAAACCAAATGACGGGACGCTTGGAAAAGATAAAGAGTGAGAGGATCCTTTTTTCTCAAACTTTTAATTTTCAAGAAGATCAGGAAGATTGATCAGACACGTCTAGTCGGATATAGTTTCACCTGCTACCCAGGGGTGTCCACTGTTGGTCAATTATGAGAAAGGAAAAAAAAGCTATCTGAAAAAAAAACATTTCTTGGTTTAGACTTTTCCCTGATCACTTAATTTTTTTCATACCAATAAATTATTTTTAAAATCAAAAATCCAAGTTTCACTTCTCGAAAACATGTTTTCTGGAATTTTCGGTGGATTTTTGAACAATTTCTGAACTTATATTGTGCTGATTTGCAAAATTTTGTGTCAAAAACCGTCATCTATACGAATCTGACATTTTTGAAATTAAAATACAACGATTTCCTTTCGAAATCCCACAAAATTCTGAACAATACAAATATGACATTTGCAAAATTGAATCTATCTCCTCATCCTTATTCATAAACCCAAAACTCTAGCCACAGTACACTTTTCAATTAAAACATAGACTCAGAGAACCTCTTCCATCTACCCCACGCGTTTTTTCTTCCTTCCAGAGACGCAGAGCCTCCATCCTCTTCCGTCGTTCAGCCCTTTTGCTCTCTTCGCCCCGCCCACATTTTTTTTGAGGGAGGAGGAGGGGACGCAGCCGGAGATTCATTTCTTCTTCAATGATCCGAAGCAGTTTCCAGTTTTGACCCGTTTTGATCTGTACTCATCTTTTGTAATTTTCTCTGCTGTCGTAATAACTTTAAATCCTGACCTGAAACTGACAGCTCACCTATCTTAAACTGGAAAACAAAAAGATTAGAACACAAATAATTCAAGTTTCCTGTCTAGGAATTCCAAATGAGTATTGTCTAATTGTTTCCTGGTTTCAATTCAGAGAACTCCTGTTCTACTGACACATCTGAAAAATCTTGGACCCTTTCTCTATTTTTCCTATTTTCTGGTCCATTCTTTGCACAGAAGCACTTAATTCACTCTCCAAGTTTTTTTCGGTCCACCTTTTTCCATTTACGTCTTACCTTTTTTGTGTTCGTAAAGATCAAAAACCCTGGAGCAGTTTTTTTTCAATTTTGAAGGTTTAAAAACATCAAAATTTGAAAAATTCAAAGTTTAAAAAAGCTAAGCCACGCCCCCCCCCCTATTCGAGCAAAATGCGCTCGTCACAAAGTGTTGCAATTGTCAGTCTCATATTTCCTACGTCTTCTGACGTTTCCTTGTCTGTATACTTTGTCATTTTCATATATTTTCGAAAATATTTCCTTTTATTTCATTCTAGATGAACGCCGACGCAAACCTGACGGATTTTCAGTGCGAGTATCCATCGATTGATCTCACTTTTCAAATTAAGCTTTGTGAGTTTTTATTAGATGTTTTGCAGATTCATTTTAAGGTTACTAATTTGAAAAATGTTCAGTACTTGCATTCGCTTATGGATCGGTTGGAGCTCTTAGCTTGGTTGGAAATCTAGCTGTATTGCTCATCGTTGTCTGCCGACGAGAGATGCAAACCGTAACCAATATCTTCATCAGCAGTGTCTCTGCAGCAGACTTGGTAAGAGTTCTGGGAACATCGAGCACCCTTGCAGCTTCCAGTTCTTTTCCTATCTTTTTTCTATTTGCTGGAAAACATCGTGTCTTGTTACGAGTAACTTGAGATAAGATGATGTGTAAGGGAGGGAGACAAACGTTTTCTCATTAGTAGCCGTTTTATTCTAGCCTTAGATAGTCTCTGTCATGTTCTGACGAGTTACCGGACACATTGAACACCCGTATGGAGGGTTAGAGAGATTTAAAAAAAAAACAAAGTTCTTTCCAGGTCATCACTAGTTTCTCACTATGGGCCACGCCAATGGCTTACTATCAACGTGTATGGTACTTTGGAAAGTACATGTGCTATATGGTATCTATTATCCAAGGTCTATCCCTTATGTGGGTCCCATTGACCCTTGCAGCTGTTGCATTGGATCGCTACTGTTTAGTAGCATCTCCGTTCCGGCAGCCAATGTCTAAAAAGTGAGTTCCGAAATCTAGTTTTTGCACCTGCGTCCTTCTTTTTCAGGACATGTCTACTGATAATTGCTGGAATCTGGCTGGGCGGTTTTGCCGTTCTCTCTCCAATGATCAGAATGGTGGATTTTGTTGACAGCTATGGACCATGCCATGTAAGCGTTATTTTTCAGGGGGGCTTTTAGAAGGTGGTTCCTCCTCTAGTTCCTGCAATTCAATCTTTTTCGGCATGATGTGTTTTTGAATTCTCTGGCCGCCTAAAAAATTCCTCTAATTACTTGAGTTCTTGATTTATTTTCTGTTTTCATGATCTCAGTTCCGTGTTTATACTTCATAATTGGTATTAGGTGAGAGGATTAGTGACATTATATGCTAATTTTCGAGCTTTTTTCCTTTTCTTTTTCCTACCCCGAAAGCTTAAAAAAGATGGTGCTAATCCTTTTTTTTCTGAAGTGGTGTGGGATAACGTATTCAAAAGGAAGAGAACGAAACATGTCTTGGGAGAAGGAAACAAGGGTTTTTGTTCTTGCCACCGCGACAAGTGGCTGCGCACTACATACATGCTCTTGGAATGAGCAAATAGCTTATAGAAAATGAGCTCTTCCTACTGGTAGTAAACTAATAAAACTAATGGGGTTGGAGAATCCAGTGAATCAAAAAATCTAGAGTACAAAATGTGAGATCTATGACCAGATGAAACTTTGTTTGCAAACGAAAGGAAATTCTTTCTTCTTTCCTTCCACCCACTAATCCTGTGCATTGCTCTCACGGGGCATTGCTTTCATAGAATAGAGAAAAAATGGGAGAATACAAAACAAGAAAGGAGGTCAAGCCGATTTCATATTAATACTTTCCGGTTGGACCTTTTTTTGCTAAAATTTATTCAATTTGCAGTTCTGCTTGGAATCTTGGGACCATGACAAACAACACTACCGCCTATTCTACGGATTATCAGTGCTTGTCATCCGCTCCGCCATTCCACTAATTTTAATCTCAATTTGCCATTGGAGAATCGCCCACATTCTGAACACCCAGACAAAGAAATTTCAAACGCTTCGTAGTGCCAGGTCTGTTATTCGAAAAAAAGTGTTCTCTTCGCCGGAATCCTCATTTAGAGACGAGCCGTTCTAAAAACATGTGTATCTTCATTAAAACAATATACTGGTAGTTTGAATTAGCCTTTTAAATTACTCGTATATTTTCAAAAAAGAGAAAAATGAAGAAAGAAAAGAATAGAATAAGATGACGCTTGTTTTTGTGTCAATAGTAATCCACTAAATTCAAAAAATCAAAAAAAAACAGAGATAAGAGATTTCGAAAATTTCAAAATTCGCAGTGACCCTTCGAAAAAGCAAAAAAAAGAAAATTTTCAGCACGGCAACTCAATCAACCGACATCCGCCGTAAGCAACGTCTGCAGACCCTCCTCCTCGCCATGGTTGTCATTTTCGCCGTGTCCAGTCTCCCATTAGACCTTTCAAATGTTTTGCAAGACTTGATCTTCGTGTATCAGGTTTGTTTTAGTTTCCCTGAGAAAAAAAACTAGATTCTAACAATAGACGTGTGAACCTGAATTTCCATGAATTTCAAAATGAGAAAAGGGTGTGAGAAACATGGACCCCCTCAAACATCAAAAATCCAATTTTCCAGGTCCGACCGGTTCCGGACAACGTGCGCCACTTTATCTTCTTCTTCTGTCACTGGCTCGCCATGGCTGGAACTTTGCTCAACCCACTGGTCTACGCATACTATAATGAAAATTTTAGGCGCCAATTCCAAGTAAGTACAGTAACCCGGAACCATTCATCTAACGTTTTGTATTTAGTCTTTCCACACGTGTTTCGGCGGTATCAGAGGACAAGGAGAATTCAAACGAGGGCTCTATTCGATTGTGTCCGGGAGATATTCATACAGGTAAGAAGATTTGGGAAATCATCCAGAAAATTTAATGTTTTAAATAGGGAAACTTTCAGAGCAGACGACGAAGCCAACCATACCAACCAACCAGATTGTCAAAGACAACAAACAACTCGGATTGAGTTGGCCAATAATGCTGAAATCGAAGTTCTTCGCACTGATCTCTAAATGTTTTAATGTTTTGTTTTCTTAACTATGATCCCAAATTTTTTAATACAAAGAAATTCTAGAAAACGGTTCTTCTGTCCAAAAATAAGGTCTAGATTAAGTTCGGTCTCACTAAGTAATCCTTTTTGTCAACACACAAAAGTTGAGTAATTTTTTTCAAACTGTTATCCCGTTTTTCCCCATTCCGACAATCTCAAAATCAAATGTCCATCGGTTTTTGTACAAATTTGTTTTTTTCAATTATTTAAATGAACTTTTAAAGATAATTTTACGAATTTTCAGAAAATTAAAAAACCAATTTTTCTCTTTCAAAAGTGCTAGCTGAGTCAGCAAACAGTGTAAACATGGAAAATTCCCACTTCTGTGATGTCACGGCAAAAAAGTCCAAAAAATTGATTTATTTTGATAACATAGCCTTTCTTCTTTCTTTTTTCTCACCTTCAAGCTATAACAGTTTGCCGAATAGTGAATCAGCGGCGATTTTTGAAAATCTCCATTTGTTTTTGAATAGCATACAATCCAAAAGCAAATATTATGGATAAGTGGATCTTCTTTCTCAAAAGTATCATAGATTATTTCAAAGTTCGTTTTTTCGTTTTTATTTACGTTTTTTAACTTTATTTTTACGTTTTTTTTTGCATCCACCCACTCAATTACACAATTTCATAACAATTGTAATAATTGTTAGGATGAGGGGATTCCCACTTTTTTTGGATGATTTGAAATTATAAATTCTGAGAAAAAACCAGGTAAAACCAATTGCAAATCAGTCTTTGAACTTTGCCTTTCATCTTATTTTCTTGTTCCTCTTACCACTTGTATACCTAAGCAATTTCACTTTCAGAAAAATGGAATTTCCCATTTTCCTCTATTTTCTACTTCCTCTTGTTTTTACTTTTCGTGATCAAATCGTCGGTGTCCGTGGAAAACTAACCTGCAATAACCGGTTACTGCAAGGCGCTACAATTCGGTTGATCGAGAAAAATTATATTGGTGAGTCAGTATTTTTTTTTGCATTTTTGGAATTTCAAATTTCGAGAAGAATTGGTGAAAAACAAGACAAAAATTATTCCGTGTTTTTTTTTTGCTATTCCTTGTTATTTTTTTGCAGGGCCCGATGTGATCTTGGCAGAAAACAAGACGAATTTTCAAGGAAGCTATGAAGTGGTCGGAAAAGGAAGAGGGATGTTGGAGATGAACGTATTTTTAAGGATGTTTCATGATTGTGACGATAAAGTTATTGTGAGTATTAAACGATTGTCAAAAATTTTGTTGGGATCGGTTGAAAATAGTTTTGAAACTTGATTATTGCAAAAATGGAAAAAAAATCTTAAAAATCAACAAATTGAAGCAAATTTGATTACATTTTTAAGTCATGGTGAGGAAGAGATTGTTAGTGAAACCAAAAAAAGTTATGAATATCCTAAAATTGAATTATTAAATTTGAAGTGAATGTTGTACTAAGTTGAGTCCTGTGCCGGAGCCGAGAGTACAAGAATAGGATAATTGGTTAATTCAACAACTGTTTATTACTGTATTAGGGCTCTGAGTTTGAATCTTCTGGGCGTCTGCAGTTGGGGTTGGCGTACTTCCGATGACCACCAGATGAGGGTTCCATTGCCTGTGGAGAGAGAAAAGAGCAACCATCCATTCTGACGATGTTAAAGGTTGTGACTGTAGAAAATGTGGCATCGAGTTTCAGCTTGGTCCATGTTGCATCAGCATTCGGATCCTTGATTAGTGAGTCCAATGTTGGAGATCCATTGATAAAAGCCTCAGATGTCTCAGATGTCTCTTCATCCTGGCGATTCTTCTTCATTTTATAGCATATGCTCAGCATATCTACGTTTGTGCACCAGATCTGATATGGTGATAAAGGCCACACACCAAATATGTAGCGTTGAATAGTTGGAGAATTGTGTTTATATTTGTGTCTTTCTAGATGTTTTCTAAACAAATTCAACACTTCCAGACTACTACGTTTAGTACTTCAAAGTTAATTATCCCCCGCTGATAAAATCAAAACATGATATACGGTTACTGTAGGTCTAGAAAAATACGCCACGCGACAAAACTAAAAATAGTTGTAGTTCCGCTATGAAAAATATTTACATCTATTGTTTTTCAAGAACACTTGTTTTGCAGACTGAGCTTTTCGAAAATTCTATTTAGAAAAAAAAAAGTTATTCTTATCACGAATTCAAGATTAAAAACTTCCAGCCTTGTCAACGAACAGTCAGTCTACGCATTCCATCCACGTACATCACGCGTGGCACCACTGTCAACAATTATTTCGATGCTGGGACAATGAATATGGCGTTCCGGTACCCGGACGAACAACGCTCATGCACCGACAGGATATTCAGTTGAATGACAAACTGCCACAAATTCCATTCATTCATTTTTTTGTCTCTATTTTCTGTCTGAGAAGCTTTTTTGTTTGTATGTATTTATTTGTGTGACAAGGGAACTTTTTATTTGCCATTTTTGAAAAATATACATCACAGATTTTGTCGACAATGTTTGGGAAAGGCGAAGTATTAGGACGGATGTGTTCTTGAGAAGAACAATTAAAGGGGGACTCCGACCAAAAATTTTTATTGCATTAAAATGTGTTAAAAGTTATCTATTTTCCGAATATTATTGCGAATAAATTCAAAAAAAATCCGAAATTCCCAAAAAAACGCCGTTGAAAAGGAAGAAAATTCAAAAAAAGGTGCCGCCGGGGGACGAGGATTTTCAGTGAGAAACCTAGGCCAC